GGTAGCTTTTTTAAGTATACTTTGATTAGTGTCACTTGAATAAGAGAACGTTAATTTGTTCTGATCTTATTACCGCTGCTAGTTGATATTACGAAAATTCCAGCGCAGATGTAATGTTGCTGATTGGTTTGACACTATTTATCCTTTACTGCCCTCCCTTTGAGAAATGGGACCAATTTTCGATCAAATTCTCTACTGATGGAGGGATTCGGCCAAGCTTTAGGTCTCTTGAGGAGCTCGATCCCTTGTATGTCGATTATGACACCCACCTCCGAAATGCTTGGCGAACATGCTACAACCATGGGTATTGGAACCTAGTTCAGCGCCTTGCTTCGCAGGACACATATTAGGCGTTGCGATTAGCTTTTGTTATTCATATTCAGGGGGTCAAATTACGGCCAGTGTCAAAGTTTAGTGGATCCAACTAAAAAACTTTCATTAAAATATGATGAATTTTGTAGAGGGGTAGTAAGTGCCAAAAATTTTTACGATCACAATTGAAGTATGCAAAGAATTCTTGCATGTAATCTTGCTAGGACCACGTTCATACTTCGCGACGCAATCGCTTGACTGCGATCAGCGCCCTGTCGCTAAGATCGATGAAAAGCGGCTAGTGCTTTTCTGAGTGAGCTTGACTTTACAGTTGGGGCGGTCCAATGTTAGCAATGGAGCACGGTCGGTCGCATTTTCGCGATTTGGGAAGTGCGCAATTAGGTTGCTGTAATGCGAAGTATGAACGAACCCCTTACAGTGCGTTTATACTTTGCGGCGCTTTTCGAGCGGCGTCTGCCAGCGTTATGAGCGTCCGCCCCTTTTGAGCTTTCGCCAGCGTCATGACCGCCTGCCAGCGGTTTCAGCGATAATCGATATATATGAATTCTTGGTCGCCGCTCAAAATGCTGACGGATGCTCAAAATGTTGACGCTGGAAACGCCCAAAACGCGGCCGCAAAGTGTGAACGCTCTCTTACTAGTACCGAATGAACCGCCTTTACTAAGGAACGAAATACGTATTATTGCAGATACTCCGCCGAGCACTTCCTTCTGTCGCGCAGTCGGTGGGCTTGAACGCGGTGGCATCACAGGTGCCAATACCGCCTGCTCCGCCCGTGGCGCCAGGTTTGGTTCCCACCCCTGATATGCCACCAACTGCAGTTCCTGCTGCAGCGACACCTCCAACGCCGGGTTTCGCCAGTTTACGGCGTGCTCACAGCGAAGGGGATGACCTCGATATCACTAGGTATGCTTTCGTGAGTGCTGCTAATTGCTTTCGTTCCGGTTATCTCCACCTCTTCAGGGCAACCGCTAGTCAACGAGCTGCGTTTAATGTGGATAAGGCAACTGAATCGAATAACGATACACCGCTAACACTTGCCTGTTCTAATGGGCATGCACAAATGGTTGATGTCCTTGTTTGTCGTGGTGCAAATATAGAGCACCGGGATAAGAAGGTTACCTTACATTGGTCGATTTCTTACATTCCCGTTTTTAATTCCTCATGCTTGAAGGGCTTCACTCCGCTGATATTGGCGGCTACGGGTGGACATCGAGATGTTGTGGAATTGCTTCTCAACAATGGAGCCCAAATTGAAGCACAGTCTGAGCGTAAAGGAACAGCATTATCATTCGTTTGTGTCTGCGTTGCGTCGCGCAAGATGTGGTGGAGCTTCTTTCAGCAGGGGTGCTAAGAAGGTAAGGTCCATTCAATAATTCTCGCAAAATCTTTGTGTTTTCTTATGTGGGTAAGTTTTCCTAGTTGTACTTTGGTCAGCGGTTTTTTTACTAGTAGGCTTTTCAACAGCAGTTTTATATTTACTTGTAGTGTTACTGTGAGGCTCAGTTTAATCTGTTTTGGTGCATTGTTTCTGGGGGGGGGGGGGGTCACTGTATGATTCTTTGTTGGGACGAGGCCTAGTTTATACCCAGTGAGTCGCGGAATGAGTGAATTTGTGAAAAGGAAACAAATGGATTTCCCGATTTTTTAAATTCAGGTTCTGATTCTTCTTTTGGGAGAGGGGGGGGGGCTAGGGGAGGGGAATGTCTCGTCACAACCAGTTCGTGCCTTATCCTTTTTCGGATTCCTCTAATTCCGCAGTTTTCCGATTCTGCCAAAACTCACAAAGAATGGGGCTAGCTATCCATTTCCGTCTAGTCTTTTTCGTCAATTAGTGGCGTTATTTGTAATTTATGGTCTCGTTTGGGGGGGGGGGTCAGGCGGGTTGCGTTTGGCGCCGCGGCAAACGTATCCGGCCTGACACGCCCCTTCATCCGTAACGAGTAAGACTATGAATGCGTTTACCGCGTTATGTATTGACGTGGCCTTGTTGCGATTTTCAATCAAGCAGTAAGGGAGTGGGGTAAGGGGGCTGAGAGCTAGGTAAGTAAATTGTTGTGAAAAGGTGGAAGTGATGTAGCTGTCAAAGAAGGTGAACGATACCCCAGCCCTAACAGAAATAACATGATGCCCCCATCCCCTGCAATGAGCGAATTTGTGAAAACGGTCGTATAGGAATAGATTTCCCAATTTTTTTTACTTCTTGTTTAGTTTGTAAGACCTTGTCCTTTAGTCAAGTTTCACTCGATAGGGCAGTTTTTTCAGGAACATCGAAATGTGAGCGATTACACGCCGCTATCGCTAGCTGCCTCTGGAGGTTATGTGGAAATAGTGAATATGCTATTGAATGCTGGTGCAGAGATCAATTCAAGGACTGGAAGCAAGGTGGGTCCTATATGGTTACCAGGCGTTAAAAAGCGTTTCTGCACTCATTTTGCTCCCCTTTATGGCTTAAGAAGCCCTACTTATATCCCTCTTGTTTAGCTCGGCATATCACCTTTGATGCTGGCAGCAATGAATGGTCACAAGGAGGCTACTAGGGTACTACTCGAACAAGGATCCGATATTAACGCCCAGATCGAGACGAATAGGTGTGGTGATTTTATGTGCACCGAGCTTAATCTCTCTTTTTTTCCTCAAAGTTTGGTATATCATGGCGCAGATTGGCTTGAAGGGGGCATTTTTGCTGGTTTTCACTGACTTCCGATGCCTCCTGTAGAGACCTGTGAATTCCTGTGAAGCTGTGCAGTAACAGAAGCTTCCTTTACCTTGGCAAGATTCTGCAGGTCTCACCAGGATGAGTCGCGTATTGACAGAAGCTGACAAAGGAAGTTTGCAAAGTGTAAAATGCCCCTCCGGAGCCAAGCATCACCTGTACCACGTTTTCGAAAATTGCTGTCCCAATTCTTCATTCAAACGGGTGGCAGTGTTTTAATTGGAACCTCTAGACATTGCCATTTTAGGAATACCGCGTTGACTTTGGCATGCTTCCAAGGCCGAACCGAAGTTGTAGGACTGCTGCTGCAATACAACGCGAACGTCGAACATAGGGCCAAAGTGAGCTTACTTTTAGCGCCAGCATTTCATCAGGTATTTTGTAAAACATGATGTTTTCTAGACGGGTCTCACCCCACTAATGGAAGCAGCAAATGGAGGCTATGTAGAAGTTGGTGAACTGCTGCTTGACGCATGTGCTGATCCAAATACTGCGCCGGTACCATCGAGTCGTGACACTGCCCTCACTATCGCCGCCGACAAAGGTCACGAGCGATTTGTTGATATGCTAGTTCATCGAGGAGCTCACATCGACGCCAGAAACAAGAAGGTAATAAAAAACCACTTTGCTCTCCATCAAATGTTTCTCACACTATTTGTGTTGATTTAAACGGACCATGAAAATTTAACAACACTTCGTTTTTCAAGGGTTGTACTGCATTGTGGTTAGCATGTCATGGTGGTCATCTGGAAACTGTGCAGACATTGGTCAAACATGGCGCCGACGTTGATATGCAAGACAATCGGAAAATGTCGCCATTAATGGTGGCTTTCCGCAAAGGCCATGTCAAGGTTTGTTGCAGCTGACTAAGCTATTTACCAATTTGATCACTACTATTTTACTTTTTTTCACAATTCCAAATGGAGCCTAAACTTTACCTGTTTTTTGGGTAATTTCATTCACTTTCAATTTGCTGTACGCGATTTATTTCCATTAACCTTTTTTGTTTGAGGCACTGTCGGCCTGGAAACTGTATTTTCCACTCCTGCTACTAAACATCTATTATATAAAGCTAGTTTCTGATAAATAATAATTCAACCACCAATTGTGAAGACACTGATAGACTCTTGTCAAACAGCGCATGAAGCCTAAAAATGTTTTGCACATTTTCATAAGATACGGGTCTCTCAGAAGGCATCGGCTGTGATTGATGGGAGCCAGCAAAATGCCATCACCCATCCCAACGGTGCCTATTTTCCATTGTATTTCTTATTTTCACGTCACTGAGATAGAAAAAATGATCTTATAGCCGGGAGGGGCAATTCAATAACTTCTGAGAAAGTTTGAGAAATTGTAAGCTCAACGACATAAAAAAGAATTTTGCACCTGCTTAAATGGAACGGAAAAAACATCTGCGTTAAGGACCCTTTTTTTTGTGGCAAAACCGGATCCACTTTCAAGCAGCTCCAGTTTGCTCGAAAAGCGCTCTAACAGTGCTCCCGCGATACACAGTGGATCAATTTTGTGGGCACAGTGTTGTCGTTAAACTCAAACACGCTGGACACTCCCAGCGGAGCTCCAATTCGTCGTACGACACTTCATGCAACAAAGGCGCGGTGATCAACAGTTCAAGTCTTAGTCGCGTAGACACTAACGAGTCATGCACTTTCGAATGTTTACCGGTCACACGTTTCTTGCGCCCCTATTTCGCACTTTCGCTTTACGAAAGTGGTACATTCCTTGTGACTGCAGAGTTCTCTACCAAATACGTGGTGGCATTCCGGGACTTTTGTTCAGATGCCCCTTATTTCATAGCGAATTCAATACGATATTTTTGTTCTAACAATAACTTTCTGCTAAAAAGTATTTTAAGGTCGTGCAACACATGGTGCAGCACGTGCGGCAATTTCCAGGAGACCAGGAACTGTTCCGCTATTTGACGACCATTGCCGAACCCGTGAGTTTTATTTTGGATGAGTTTCATTTATGAGTGGTATCTTTAAACTAGCTTCCACTTCCCCTCAGGACCTTCTTCGAAACTGTCAAGAATGCATGGATCTCATTGTTAAAGCAAAGAATGCCCAGGCTGAAGAGGCAAATCGAGCTGCGGAAAGCCTTCTGGCACTTCTAGGCAGAAGAGGTTTGCCAACGGAATACTTCCCTTTGCTGAAAACAAACTACTAATTTAAGGAAGAGGCAGCCAGGTCTAAGAAACAGGCGAAGTTGCGCAAGAAGGAGAAGAAGAAGGAAAAGAAAGCGAAGAAACATGATGGTAACGAAAAGGAAAATAGAAACACAGCACCGCTATCCGATGCGCCAGCTCCAGTTTCAAATACTGAAGAGTCGCTACCTGTTTCGCGAGTCAAAGAGGAAAGCGAGGTGATACTGTTGTTCAGTTGATTTCTGTTGGCTTCAATTCTTACGTTGTTGGACAGACAGAAAAAGGCTAGAGATACTTTTAACACTTGAAGGAGCATTCCGCGATCACCTGAGAGGTTAAGTTCAGTCCGGTATGGGGTGGGTGGGTCTATTGCCACAGAAGTGTTATCGCTTCATTCACTCAAAGGTTTTTGGCATAGGAGCCAAGCGTTGGTAATTTATTCATGTTACTTATGTCTCTGCCCAATAATCGGTACGTCATGCGTCAAGGCGACACGCCATACGGCCAGTTCGTACGCGCTGCTTGTCTGCCCCCTCTCTCCAAGGTAGTGATCCGTGGGTTCAGGCCGGTAACGCCTTTCTCGGGCTGCGTTTATACTTTGTGACTCTTCGTTTTGGCAGAATCAGTATTTTGAGCAAGAAGTTTAGCATGAGTAGCGATCGGCGTCCAAAATAGCCATTCTGCTGAGAACGCTGATTATCCCAAAACTCGATTCGCAAAGTATAAAAGCAGCCTGAAAGAGGCCTCACTATCCTAAAACCCATTGAACACTATCCTAGTGAGAGGGAGCAAACAAGTAGCGCGTACGTCATGGTCGCGCAGCGTATCGCCTGGCCGTATGGCGTAGAGCATGGCGGGCGGAGACACCTGCAACATCGAATGGACTCTTTCTCTCTCTTCCCATACTTCTATCAACTAAAATAGTAGTGCGTCCCTTCGATTCCATAGTGTATGACGAATGTTTGAGTAGCGGCGGTGCGTCATCTGCGTGGAAGCCGTTTTTTTTCTCGAGTGGTTTCGAAATCTCACGTTGTTCCTCATCAATGAATTCGAAATGCCCCGTGAGCGTATAGCATTCGTTTTTCTGTGTCGTGGAGTGCAAGCATCTTGAGAACATTACTGATGGGAGAAGAAGTCAGTGGGTGGCTCGAAAGACGAAATGATTTGAAGGAAGATTGTCTCTCTTGCAGTGATCACTACTCGTTCGTCAAAGGTAGGGGGGATAATTGAGGTCATCGATCCGCTGGGAGTGATCTATTTTTGGCCGTGAACCAATGTGTGAGGTGTATTGATCGTATTGGTGTGACCTCTGCTGGTACAGATTGCATACTCGTGCCAATAGAATTAACTGGTCATTTCATTTAGACGAG